ACATGGGTTATACCAATTTGAAGATAACAATATGTAACACAGCAACCATTGTTAATTTCTTATCACCTTGCCTGCAATTCTGTATTGCTTTTATTGTTTTGGTGTTGTTTTATTCGTGTCTGTTTGTTAATATGTTTTCATTCTTTTATCTTTAAAATAAAATAAATAAAAATAATAATGTGGGTTATATTTAGAGACATTTAACATATTAACAATTAAGACTAAAGAATTTTTAAACACAAAAATATAAGCTTATAGCCATAACCTTATAATCTATGAGCCACCACGCTATATACCATGTGGCCTCTGAAAAATTCCACTGCACACTCATAATACTAGTAAAAAAGGCAAATAACATCTTAACGTTGTACAAAAATAGTGCTGACTTGCAGATCTCCTGAAAAGGGGCTGGAGATCCCCAGGGTCTGAAAACCACACTTGGAGAAATGTTCGGCTAGAAAAATTCTACTACACGAGTCCGTGTGCATTCTGCCAAACCCGAAACTATTCTTTGGACATCATCCTGAGCTTTCAATCCCGTTTTAAATCATGAATTTATGCGGACTCTAGCTCCTCAGGCAGTTATCTCCGTGGCTTAAATGAGAAGGGAGATTTTAAATGATGAGGCCAAACTACCTAACCAACTATTCCCTAAAGCTGAAATGCAAATCAACTCGGAAAACATTTCATAAGCTATCAACACCTCCCAGGCCAATACACCGCCCTCGCTTTTCTGTTTTCCTCCGTCTTTAATTATTGTTAGGCCTGCAAGTGACATTTTCAATGACTGTAAGGTGGATTCAAGAGAACAAACCAGAACCACACAAGCAGCAGTGAACAGATCCAAGTTTTTGTGGGACAAATGGACCAGGCGGTATATGGATGAGATGCCAGCGTTTTTTACAGTGGCAGTCAAGGTCACACTTTCACGTGCAGTCTTTGCTCTTTCTTGCTCTTAGTCCACCCTGTTCTTCGTATGCAGCTGTAACTCTGGAGGTGACCAGGCCCCATCTGGTAGTACCTGCTTCCTCTACTTTGCATTGTCATATTCATAAAAGGAACAAGTATCTAGGAAGCACTTATCCAAGTATATTGTAAATACTCCCTTTCTGCACTATTTCTTATATTTCTACAGATGCCAAACTGCCTGGAAAGAGACTGAAGCATCCTTCCCGTATCATGTAAAGATAAATAAACAAAACCTTATTTTCCAAATGTCTGGAATGAAGCTATACTGAAAAAGCAACAAACAAGAGCCCTTCCCCACAGGCACGAAAAGAAATGTAGGTGAACCTTTTACCAGTGCCACCTGACAAAGACTTAGCTCTTCTCCCCTGGCAGCCTGTTGACTGGTTTCACTTTTCCACTAAGCCGTAATCAGAACTTCTAACATTACCCTGTTGAACTGCCAAAGTGACATGTTAGGAGAGTTGCTCTGATCAGACTTCAATTTTCCTCAGCAAAGAAAACAAGGAGTTTGTCAAACATGGCCCAGACCCAGGAATGGAAGAGCAATCCTATCCTTCAATTATTCTGAAATGGAATCACCTTGTTGCCTAACAACTGTGACTTTGACTAATTCCAAAGACCTAAGCAGCCTTCTCATAATGATCACTTTGGGGTCAGTTACTACTGAGGGCAGATTAGACTGTGATCTGAGGCTAAAAAATTCCATCCATTGGTACTAATCTCTTCAACGTTCCAATCCTAAATAAGGCAAGTTTGAGAATATGGCATTTCACAGCCTACCTGAATATTGACTGTGTAATGATTTTGCTTTATCAAAAAATTAAACTCACTCTAATGAGCTAAGCAGAAGGAATGAATTCTGGCCAGCTGCCAAAGCTCCATCTGAGGCTCTTGGAGTTAATAATTTCCAGTGTTTTAACCATTAGAAACAACCAAGGACAGCTTTTGCTAACAGTACAACCGATTCTGGCAAATCTGTCAAACAAGGCCTGCTCTGGGGTAGTCATATTACAAAGAATTAAGTTTTAATAAATAAAATGAGACCAACGGTGTCTGCAAACTTAGTAACCAGCAGATTTAGTAATTAGTGTTAAAAGTGATTGAAAATGGACACGGTGGCTCTGCTGAGATGACCCATGTTTAGTAAATGACCTTGGGTGGGGGCGGGAATGAGGATGGAGGGATGCAGTCTTACAAGGAAGGCATTTCCTGGTAAAACGACAGTGTAGGCAACTCACGGCTTCTCCTCACACTTGTACATTTCTTACTTGATCAGTCACTCTTCGGATATAAATACATGAATTTTCTGCTCCAGGAAATGAGTCAGCATTTCAGAACACATATTGCAAAATGGCACCACATAGGCTGAACCTGGCTGCAAAAACAACTTATTAGGTTTTCATAGTGTTTCAAAATCTGAATTTGTTGCCAATATTAAGAACTCAGGAGATTTCACATGAAAATGCAAATATCTGCCATTCCTGGGAGCTGGAAGACATACTGCCTGGAGGCAGACATTTCGGCAGGGCAGCCACTTTAGTATGGGCGGTCCTCGCACTCGGCCCGTTTCACCTAATATTTCTTGCCTGCTCTGCGTTTCCTTCATCCCTCATGATAGCCAGCCTGCCGGTTAATCCTTCTATAAGAAATACTGTTAATGAAGCGCAAGGTCGTGAGTTCGGTTCCCGGTACCGGAGAAAAACCAAAAAAAAAAAAAAAAAGAAATACTGTTAATGGTAAGGTTAATATTTGTTGAAAGGGAAGGAGAATCACATGCACAGTATCATTTTTTTAAAAATCCACGTTAGTCCCTTGTATAAAATGCCTTAGGTTTCAGCACAGAAAGCACCAAGTTTATGTTTCTTCAAAACATGCCTTTTGTTAAGTCAATTATGGATTTTACTACATGGGGAAAAAAAAAACTATTTGCAACTTGAGAACAGGATAAAATCATCATCTCTTCTGAAAAGGTAACTAGCAAGAGGATTGTGGAGTTCTCGAGGCTAAAACGTAACTACCATATTTTATATCAACAGAGTGATCAGTGAGGATAGTCCCTGAAAAACAGAAGACCTGCCATCACTCTGTTCTGGAGCCATCACCCCACCACACCCTTGCCTCAGTCAACACTTACTAAAATAAATGGTACCTTCCGTTTCTTGTTTTTCCTCAAAGGTCACATGGATAACTGAGATGTTTGTCCAGAAATACTGGGGAACTGAGCAGGGGAAGAAGTCTATATTGATGAAGTCCTGAATTGCATTTTAACTTGTAGGCTCAACTATACAGTATCTGAAACATCTATTCAATTTGGTATTTTCCAGGAAAAGTCATTCATTTTTTCTGGTACTGGGGATCAAAACCAGAAGTGCTCTACCACTGAGATACATCCCCAACACTCTCATTCTTCTTGTTTACATTTTGAGACAGAGTCTCACTAAATTGCTCAGGCAGCCCTCAAACTTTCCATGCTCCTGCTTCAGCCTCCTAACTAGCTGGGTTTATAAGCATGTGCCACCATGCCCTGGGCCCACCCCTTCTAATCGTGTTTATAGGGCTTTAAGAAAGAAGAGATGCCTGCTTCCCACTCAGCCAACATGTACAAACCTGAAAATAAAGTAAGACTATGCAGTGTTCAGGACCAAAACAGGCAGGACCACAAACCTCCAATTCCTTCCATGCTTCAATGGTGGCTAGAAGTGAGAGTCAGAAACCAACCCAATACAAAGTCACTGAAGGGAACAAAAGAAGGTTCAATACTACAACTGGCACATCAACCAAATGATGTCTTCTGCTACCAGTGTTTCTTTAATAAAAGTAACTCCTAAGTGCTAAGGAAACAAAGTGGAGGGCAGCAGAGTATGGAACTCATGCCGGACCAAGTGATGGAAATACATTTGAAACAATCAAACTTCTTGAAATTTAAAAGAAACCGTTAGCAGTATAAGTGGGCCTTCACAAGTGAAGGGGATCCTTCACACATACTGTGTATGTGCATGTACAATTTTGCAGAAGATGAGGTTTTTCACAAGGAATATATCTATGGCACTGAAACCGAAACTATTACACTGCCATTTTGTCATTCTGCTAAGACACCAATATGCAACATTATAAAGCGTAGGGCTATACAGCTCCGTAATCTTAACTGGTAACCTAGATGTGTGATTACTAAAAGAAGAGCTTCTTAGGATACTGTTTAAATGTTCTGCAATATTATGCTGATGCTAAAAATACAATTCTAAAGATGATACCTCAAAATACATAAATGTTTATGCTATATAACACTAATTAACAAGAGAAAAAGTAAAAACATACATACCATAATGTTGTCAAAAATGTGTGCAGGTGGGAAGTAAGAAGAAAGAACAAAACTGTACTGAAGTAATGATAATTTTAAAAATAAAATACCTTATTTCCTACATTACCTACTTCCTACAAATGTTTTTTTCTTCATTTTGCTCAGGATTAATCATCAGTCGGTGGAAGTGTGTATAGAAACATTTTATTTCTACAGAATGACTGACCAAAAGATGAGGCTAAGTATGCCAGTGACATGACTGTTCTTCAAGACAAATGTTGTCATATGTTAGAGGTTAAGGACAAAAGTAGCAACCAAGTGTGGATTAAACACTGATAAATACTACTTGACTTCCATACGAGCATTTCCTTCAAATGATGTGTTAGAATGGGCTAAAAGATCCATGGAACTAAGGAATCTGGCTGGATCTCAACCAAAGGGACCTTAGGGAGAACGCCATCCCCCTAAATGTGAACCAGCTGCCAGGTTGTATAGCAACGTCCTTGACTTTGCATTATCTATTCTGGCAAGAACCAAGATCATAACATGGTTCCTCTCAGAATAGCCTTGCTTTTTCCAAACAAAAACTGCCATAAACTACTCACACAGCAAAGTTATCAGCTAACAGACATGAAAGTTTTCTAGCAAACCAGATCTACAAATATCACAAAGTCATTTCTTCAAATGAAAACATGAAGGTGGGATCATGGAATAGAAACCAATGAGAGTGAAGCCTGTCTTAGAGATACCAGTTTATTTGACATAGTGCATGATTCAAAGTATCTGACATTCCTTAGCCAACACTTCCTACCTCTCTATTACAAAATACTGGGTACCCTGAATACAGTTAATTCACGATCTTCATTCCCTTTCTTCTATACCTATATTAAACAGGTTTCCCCATTTAGTATACATTTCACATTCACAGACGGCTTTGGGGAGAGAGGGTAATAGGGCTTATAACTGCCCCTTTGAGCCAAAGGCACTTAATGTTAAAAGATAAAGCACAGCAGAGTCACCCCACAGTCATTCGTGTTCCGTTCAGAGCACTGAACTTTAGCATACCATCACAGGCCCATGTGGGGTTCATCATAACAATGTAAAAGACACTGATTTCCTTGGAAAAGCAAAGTGCAATATGAATATAAAGAACTCACCCCCCCATACCCTTTTCTGAAAAATAATACATAAAAGAACTTTTACTTTACATGATTAGTATCACCTAAGCTTCACACATGGACAAAAAATAGCTAAAAAATAATCTGTGATAAATTTCACTATGCAATCACAATAGAATCTGATATCACGCATAGAATCTGCAAGTTAGGAAGAGCTTCAAGATGATGTTGTCCATCTCTTCATTTGATAAACGGGAAAGGCAGGTGATATGCTGGACCCAGCGTTTAACCCGGTTGCAGAGCCTGAGTAGGACACAGGGACTCTGCAGCGCCTAGTTCAAGGTTCTCTGGTTTTCCGTTCCTCCTTAGAAGTTCACAAAAGTAAAACATGGCGATGATCTCTGAAGATGCACCACACAATAAAGCACACGCACTGACACAGGTCAGTGATTTGGTCTCGCAAGACGGTTCCTTTGGCCATTAGGCAGATATGTATCCCACCTCAGGGTGGGACTTCTTTGCACAAGATTGCTCAGTGTTCTGAGGGAAACCAGGTGTAGGTCAGAAGTAACTTCCTGGATTTGGGAAACTTCTTCTTGACTGTCAGTCCGTCGTAGGCAGGTGGCTGGCTGCACAGCGGAATCCCAGATTCGACGCAGAGCTATCGGGCGTGTTCTGGCTTCGAGCAGCACAGCGATACCTATAGCAATAGGACTGCAGAGAAAGAAGCGAGGTGAGTGCCGCTAGGAATCTCAGCTTAGGGCCTGGGGATCTCAACTGTCAAATGCATGCTGTTCAAAGGTACCAGCTATGAAGTTATGCTGACCTGTGGCTAGAGCTTTCCCACAAAGCTTCATCATGGACGCTTAATGTGTATGCTTTGCAAAGGGCAACACATTCAAGAATTAACCACATACCCTATAAATACAATGTACCTATATACAGAGAAGTTATGGTCACCATTAGGTATAACCGAAAAGAAAATTCTAACAACCCACGGTTGTATTAAGTTAGGGACATCTGTATAATACAATAGTCAGCAGTCACTGCAAATCATGTTTTTAAGTAATATTTAATGACAGAAAATTCTTACAATAAAAAGTTAAATGCAAAAGTCAGAATACAAAATTACATATGTGGTATGACATCAACCTATACAATCACAGTAACAAGGGGAAAAAGATAAGATTTAGAACACACCAAAATATGCACAGTAATTATTCTTGTGCAGTGGAATTTCAAATCTCCTATCACTAGTACCTACTAATTTTTACACTGTAAGAAATACTGAAGATAAACAGCAACCAAGAAAATACTAATTAAGAACATTAAGATGTCATTTACTATTCAACAGACTGGCAAAAATTAAACATAAGCAAGCTTATGTCCATCAATGTTGGAAAATATTGGTTTTCTTCATGGCTTTAGAGTCTAAATCACAGTAACTTATAAAGCTATACTTTTTGTGCAGTTAGTTTTGTTTCTGTAATTTTTTATAAGAGTAGAGTCCACGTATACACATGCACCACAGACTGAGCACCTAGAACATACCCGGCATGGTGCTAGACACTTTTATCTGTTATTTCCTTTGACCTAACAGCCCAGAGATACTAAACAGGCTACCCAAGATGACACAGTTGTTAAAGGAACAGAATTCCAACCTGGATCTAACTGTGACGTGGCTTCTTCCCTAGCAAAACTGTGGTACCCCAGCAGGAACGGTACCACACCTCATGTCTTCTTTTCCACCACCCAACAAATAAGTTTGCGTGCACACATGCATTCACACAAACATACAGGACATAATCTGCCTAGCTCACATCTATAGCTACATAGTAGTGCTCAGTGAATGGCTACAGATTACTTGCTGCAAATACTTCAAAGGTTTCCAGATTCCAAAAATAACCATGCATGGAACTCAGCATTGCTAAGTTTGTTCTCTGATCCAAAATAAGAGAATGAAAATAAACTAGTCATCCTGGGTGCCATGAGCATAAACTCAGAGTTGGCCCAATGAAACTCAAACCCCTGCCAGCTGGTTAAAGAAAGTACAGAAAGAATCACATAGAAAAAGGTTGGAATTCGTGAGAAAGAGATAATTTGTGGGGAGGAAAAATAGGTCAAGCTGCAAGATCTTTAGAAAATTCCTATTATTTTCTTTTCTCTCACAAAAGTCAACTGCTTCTAATTTTCATGAAAATTAACTCTGAAGTTGACATGGAAATTCTTGAGCATTTTCACCAGGAAAACAAAGATATAATAATTTCTCTTCTATAGGTAGTAAAATAATAGCGACCAATTTTCTCATTTTCTTTGTGGCCAGTGAGGAATATATTACCAATTTTCAGATGGACAGAGAAAAGATGAATAAAAAACGTGCTTTCAATGATAAAAAAAAAATTGATGGCTACTATGAGTGATCCACATGGAAGAGCAGTTCTCCAAGGTCTACAGGCGACCCTGCAGGAAGACAGAGCAGGAACGTCCTTCTGGGTAGGGTCTACTCACGTGGCTGCTATAGAACAACAGTGCGCTGATGTTTCCCAAATCAAGCCCCTACGGATGATCTAGGGTCCTGTGCAAACAAGCATGTGTAGCACGCTACAGCACAGATCAAGTACAGGGGAGGCAGACAGACGGATGGCTTTGGTATTCTTGTCCCATGACTGTGTCACACATAATGAAAAACCAGCAATTCCTGACTATCTACTCTGTGTACCCAGTGAGGAGATACAAGCCTAGGCCTGGTCCTGCCTGGCTGGAGACTAGAGACTAGTTGAAGAAACAATGGCTATGCATCAAATAGCTTTAAAAAAAAAAAAAAAAGCTAGGATTGTACAACCTTGAGCTTATAAGCAACTCAAGTGAAGGAACTATCCCTTGCAGAAGGCCCAAGTCCTTAGGAAAGACTTTTGGAAAGTAGTACTTGATCCAAGTGGGACATATGGTTCTCAGAACTCAGTTTATGCAAGAACCTGAAGAACTTTAAAAAAGTACAGAACTCTAGGGACACACTCAGAGATTCTGAGTCTATAAATCAGATGGGACCCCAGAATCTGCATTCCTAACAAGCTTCTAGGTGCTCTTGATGCTACACCCTAGGGAGGACACTTTGAGTAGCATTAATTTATAGGACTTTTAGAAAGAAAGGAAGAAGGCAGATTAAGTGGAAAAAAACAATGTAAAAAGCATGAAAATGGAAAATTCAGGCAAGTTCAAAGGACAGCAAGACCACAGCCTGGTGACGTCATAGCACAGTTTATTCATTAAATACAGGAGAGCTTATAATATGCAAGGTGCTATTTTAGGAACAACGGATATAATCAGAGCATGACAAACAAGGTATCTATAATCAGGGAGCTGACATTCAACAGGGAGTAGTCAGACAATAAATAGACCAATAAATTCAAGAATGTTTCTGGCAGTAGTCATTTCTGAAGAAAGTAAAAAAGGGACAGAGGGCTGAGAGTGACAGTGGCTACTCTATAAAAGGTGATCTGGAAAGGCCTAAGGAGGAGACATCTGAGCTGCACTGTCCAAAGGTTTGGGAAATAGGAATTTCAGACTTAAGCTATTACAAAGATAGTTTTAATGGTACAAAGACAGTTATAGTGTTAAGAGGCAGGCAATGTGAGTAGATAAATAGGATGGAGGAACATTATAGTCTTCTCAACAGACAGGGGTATGGACCTGATACAAATGAAAAGTGTGACAAACATTTTGCTAAGTTACTCACCGGCAAAGGCAAAATACAAGGCTTCTTAGCTCTTTAATCTTACGCAAATTCTTTCTGCATTTGTTCTCTCATAGATAAAGTGGAGCTGCCTGTGGAATTATGTCAACACTTCATCTTTACAAAAAAAAGTAAAGCACTTGACATGGCATTATTATTATTACTATTTTTTTTTTTATTTTTTTGGTTTTTCTCCGGTACCGGGAACCGAACTCACGACCTTGCGCTTGCCAGGCAGGAGCTTTTGCCACTGAGCTAAATCCCCAGCCCCCTATTATTACTATTAAGTTTTAGGAAAAAATACTTATCACAACCTCACTTTGCCAAGTTTATCTGACCTCTTTGGCCCAACCGGCTTCCTTACTAAAGACCACAGAAGCATTAGCCAGCTCTTGAACAGCCTTAGCAATCCTTACTGGACTGTGAGAAGATGATGACACCCTGCCAGCATCTGAATACACATGTACTACAAAAATATGAAAAGTTGTGTTTGCTATATAAGTGGGAATATTCTGCTGATGTGGTACAGGACTGTGGTTTTTGCTCAATGAAATACACCCATAAAACCCAGGATGTAACAACTCTCGTGAATTGTCATTACCTGCCCAGAGCACAGTGTTGAGAGAAATTTTGCAGCGGTGATACAGAAGAGCAGAGAACCATGATGTGTGAGAGATTTTTTATCATGGCCATATATAAAGACCATGGCTATGTACAAAATAATTACATTCTTGAACAAAATATTAAAAATGCGAAACATAATTTAGTAGAATGTTATCAACTGTTTTCTTTAGGAAGCAAGGTGAATGGTTTTTTATCTTCATCTTTATTATTTATGCAACAAAAATGTTTTATCCACATAACAAAAAGCTTTAAATCAAAAGCAAGAAGAGTTACTTATTAGATCCCACCAATCCCTGAGACGTTCCGTTATCCAAAATGACTATAAAAAACCAAGTCAGAAAAGGCAAATCTCACCACAAAGGTTAGTATTGAGAGATCAGCCTCATCACTTGCGAAGAATCAATTCATACTATAATTCCATCTCAAATATACTCATTCACTCAGCAAATACTTATTAATAAGCATTCGTTTTAAATTTCAATAATAGGCAACTAATAAAGCACACAATTACAGAGGTAAATGACCTAATTATGAATGTCCTCATTGTTCTTTTTTTTTTTTCCTAACTCTACTTTTAGCATCAAAACTGGTTCTTAAGGATGTGAAGTCTGGGTGGCTGAAAAATGGGTCATTCTATTAAGGACAGGAGTAGTAGAAAGGGCCTGTTTTAGCCATTTTTCATCAAAATGGCTAATTACTGTGTTAAATCGATCGCAGTATCTGTGCTAAGAACGTGATGATGGACTGGGAACAATCCATTTAAGGTAATAACTTACCATTCTTGGGGCTTTGAAGTCAAGTGACACAGCAATATGGCTTTATGATAGGATGACTTTTCAGGGTACAGAGTATTTTTAAATACGGAACAAAATCATTCCAAGGAACCACATACCCAATCTCAGGTCCCTTGGTTTCCTAGCCGTTGCTTCTAATGACACCACATCAATTCATCTGCCCTCACCTTGGCGAGCTGGTGAGCATGTCCTCAATCTGTGGGCTGGGTGGAGGCCCCTAGGGATTAATCTGACAACATCAATAGCTACAATAAAAGCATTACATGCTTATTATGTAAACTGCTCTAAGATCTTTATATGTATTAACTCAATTAATCCTCCTAATATCCTATGAAGAAGCTATTATTAGGGCCTGCGTTACATACATGTGAAAAGGCTGAGGCTCACTGACATTAACCGCGTACCTAAGGTCACACTAATGGATCCTGATTCCTAATTATTTTACCCAACTTGACAGTCGGTGCCCTTAACTGGACCCTATATTGCCTCATATGCTCTCTTTCTGTGCCTTCATCTCCTTAATGAACTTGTGTACGAGACTTTCAAAAAGTTATGAATGATAA